CTTTCCCTAATAATAGAGGTCTATTAATAATTGCATATTAGATTTTTATTTTTGTATGCTATGGCTATCGAAAAACATTTATCAATTACTGTTAGCAAATATATTTACTTTTCTCTTTATGAATCTATAACGATCACATTGCAATTCTTTGCAATATTACATGTATGGAGTCTATAATTATAAAAGTTATAAGCTCAGATCTAACTTCTCTTAATCTTATATCTTCATGTTTTTGAGCGCAGAGGAAAATAATACAAACAAATATGCTTTTTAACATTTTATTCAATTCAATAAACAAATATTAATGCAAAGGTACAAAGACTTAAGCTTCCACACAGAAAAATACAGTAAGAACAATGGAATTTAAGCTTGATAACATTTTGTTTTAAATAAGTAGCACACTTACAAAGTCCACAATGTTTTCTATTCTTTTTTTAATTATTATTTTGTTTTCTATATTTCATAGAAAACATGTAGTAATAGGAACATATTTTCCTTTTGTTTTAAAGGGTCAGATAAACCAAACCACAAAGCTGCAGATCTATGTTCCTGAAAGGTTTTAAATAAGTAGCACACTTACAAAGTCCACAATGTTTTCTATTCTTTTTTTTAATTATTATTTTGTTTTCTATATTTCATAGAAAACATGTAGTAATAGGAACATATTTTCCTTTTGTTTTAAAGGGTCAGATAAACCAAACCACAAAGCTGCAGATCTATGTTCCTGAAAGCTAGGTTTGCATATTTGGTGAGTATAGTTATGTCTTGTTGCAAAAAAATTCAGATTAATGTCTGAACTTTGCATTTAAATGTATGTGCAACATCTGAATTATCATACATTGAAAAAATAGAAATTAGCTGCCTTTGTATATATATGAACCACCGAGACTGGCTTCGCATTCATTAAATGCACATACTATAGAGTATTTTAAAGTTTTGTCATGTATACGTTTCAGATCCACTGGGTTGCATTGTACATAAAGAAAAAAGAAAGATACAAAACCACTTCGTCAAAAATGATATTTCCAGCTGCAAAAGTTTTAGTAATGCACTAGCAGAGAGTTCAGATATACTCAGAGCTTGATAACTGCGAAAAAGCAGGACATCACATCGAGACTTGCGGGTATTTTAATATTCAGTACCATGCAGCGAAAGTTCACCCAATATAAAGCAGGTTTTCAGTGTTGAAGGCTGAAGACATATAAAGTCTCATGTAAATGGTTGGGCCTGGGAGAGATTATACATCAAGGTACATAACTGCTTTGTTTTTAAATACAGCTGTCCTAAAATACGAAAGTAAATTCTTACCGTTGGTCAACAAAGACACTAGGTAGTCACTGTGGCAAAATGACAATTACTCAAGAGCATCTTTATATTGAATACATAAGAGTAGCAGTCTGTAGCTGAAGCATGATTTCAATAAAAACATTTTTTTTACAAAAACTTTGTTTTTTTTTCTCAATGGCTTGTCAATTATATAGAAAATGCATGTAAAATATACAAGCAAACTTTCTGCACTATTATTTTTCTGGCCCTATGAACTGGTCGTTTTGGCAAATGACTGATCTGGAAATGAATAGAAAGAAAATCAACTATGATTAGGCAACAAAAAACAAACTGTTTTGAATAGCAGTAGCAGTCTGTAGCTGAAGCATGATTTCAATAAAAACATTTTTTTTTTACAAAAACTTTGTTTTTTTTTCTCAATGGCTTGTCAATTATATAGAAAATGCATGTAAAATATACAAGCAAACTTTCTGCACTATTATTTTTCTGGCCCTATGAACTGGTCGTTTTGGCAAATGACTGATCTGGAAATGAATAGAAAGAAAATCAACTATGATTAGGCAACAAAAAACAAACTGTTTTGAATAGGTTAAAGCTGGTTAAAAATCTATTGGCACACTCAAAAATAAGCATCTGCACAATTAAAAACCTATTCCTGTTTGGGACATATAGAAACAATTTAAAATTTAAAGTGTGTTCATCACTGGTGAGAATTATATGGAAATGAGGTATTTAAAAAAACAATACATCCCAATTTTTTTGAATACTCAGCATATTTCATATTTCTGTTCACATCATTATATTACTTTTTTTTAAACATTGCTTCAGATATACAAGCTAACGAAATGAAAACACGACTTACGTTTTTAGATTGTATCCTGCAAAATAAATACATTTAATTTTTCTGCATTATTAGGACACTTGTGAAAACATTTTTGAATGAAAGAAAACTGGCCAAGTTAGATATTTGGAAATCTAGGAACTGAGTGGATAAAGCAACCACTGCAAAGAAATCACAAATCTACAACACGCTGTAGCAAACAGACCTTGAGCATGTGAAGACAACTTTTACAGTACTTAAACATCAAATTCCCAATGCACACACACACACACACACACACAAAATACACAACCCTTAAAATAAAAGAATATCGGCCAGAAACTAACAGTTCTACTGCAAATACTACAAAACAAAGACATAAGAAGATATTATTTCACAAAGCTTCAACAAGATTCAGTGTATAGAGGCTGAAAAGCAAAACTGCATGTACATTTGCAGCAGGGATTCTTTTATGATTTGGCTAGAAGTGGGAGCACACTTGATGATGAACACAGATCTATGTGTTTAAACCATGAGACTGAGTAAAGTGTGAAACCCCTGAACGGAGGGACAGTATAGCGTCCACTTCAAGCATTTTAAAATGTAAAAACATACAGTTCCATATTGTTTATTTCGTTTATATATATAATAATTTTTTTACATACTCCTGATATTTTATGATCTACTCTTACTTTTTAAAATATAGAAATGTATAAGTGTAGCATTTATATACATGAAGACTGTGCATACATTAGATACGGAATCATTTATGGGTTACAATGATGAAGGACCTTGTCTTGTCTGCATGCTCTCCTTGCTGGACCAGATATGTTCTGGATTGGTTCAATTCATGGTAATGATACACTATGATCCAAAGATGAAGCTTTATAAAAAGGTCAAATGGTCTACGGTGAATTGAGATGCAGAAAGGTAACCTGCCTTCTTGAATGCATTTCGGCAATATCGGGGAACTTTCAAACTTTTTCCTAACACTACGTAAAAAAGTTTTTTTGTTTTGTTTTGCATTGACCAAGTAAAAAATAATAAATAGACAACAGATACTTTTTTTCCTTTTCAAAAATACTTGTCTTAGAGTAGAAGGCAAATTCGGCCAAACAGAGGGGGAAAATAGACCCAGTGCACTTAACAGTCACTCAGAGAGGTGAAAACAAATGGGGGGGGGGGGGGTGGGGGGGGGGGAGGGGGGCAAGGCAACCGTACCTAGTGTGAGTAGGGGGGAAATGGATTGGGTATCGATTAAAGTGCTAAGTAAATGTAGTAAAAGTGATTTCATGTAGTAATTTCACAAATGTAGAACACATATATAGAGATGTAAAATAAAATATTAGAGAGATAAAACTGCACAGCTCATCGATCACCAATACTTGTGATGGTCAGACATGCTAAATAAAAAACAAAAACCGCTCACAGCTCAAACAGCTATGAGTTTCTGTACAATGCAGCCTCCTGCGAATGAAATGGAGATGCCACAACAACATGGAGGGCAGCTATTAAACACATGGAAAGGTACACAAACATCACAGTAACAAAAATAATGCTAGTTTCAGTAATATGTTTGGTCCTACATAAAAATGATGAAATACATTCTGGTTTCAGCAACGCTGTTCTTTTCAATGAGGCAGTCAAGTAAAAGAATATAGTAACTGATTACCTGACACATACTTCCCATCAATTATTTTACATCTTGAACACATGAAGCATAATCCTCATGAAAACAGTTGTCAGAGACAAAGCACATGTAGGTCATGCTTTTTTATACAGGAAATTTACACGGTGCAATCAGATCCCTTACAAGAGGAATCCCTTAGGGACAATCGAAACGGTTTTCATGCATTAACTGCTTCTCGTTTTTTCCCTTTTTGCTGACAACAGACAAAGCAATCCATGTAACGAGTAAAATTCAGCTGCATGGACTCAGAACCCACAGATGCTGTAAAAGCCGTACATCTGTTTGAGCCTTTTCTTTAGTTTTTGTTTTTGTGATCTAGTATGTTTGAATATGCTTTGCATAGATATGAATCCAAATCCGATTATCCCCTTGAACGTAGAGAAATTTTACACTGATAATAACATTTCGTAAAATATCTTTTGTATATATTCAGCATTTCAATAATTTAAACATTAAGATCGTATTTACGTTTTCAATTTTGTAAACAAAATTCTCACACTTACAAAAGTGGTAAGAGTATAAAAGTCTGAGAAATATGAGAAAAAGATGAAAGTGACAGGATTTAAAAAGAGTAGTAAACCTCCCCATTTGGGCATATGATATCACAAAGCCACCAGAAGACGAATGAGAACAGTGCGCCAGAACAACCTCGTGAGTTACAGCAACTTTTACAGTACCGGAAAACACCTTCAGCTACAGAGAACAAAACGGACAAAAACTGCATCTTCAGCGTAAGGCAGAATCTGGTTATCACAGTGAATAGTTCTGATACATATATGCAAATGATCATCATGATCACGTACTGTCTTCATGTTTCTTTTAGAGTAAACTAGTAACTAACAAGTAATGCTAAAGTTTGCAGCATCATTTTGACTGTACCAGTTACCATGGCTAAGATTATAGGCCATACTATAACATTACATACTGTACATTTAATATATAATTCTGTTGATTTAAAACACCACCATATCACTGGCATGAAAAGATTTCTTTCCTAATACATAACAAATTGCAAGGCCTTTTACATTGTTTATGTGCATATGCTGCACATTATAAAGGAATAGTTCACCCAATATTAAAAAGTTTGGTCATCATTTACTCCCTCTCATGTCGTTCCAAACCTTTACGGCTTTTTTGTTTTGTGGAACGCAAATATTTTGAAAAAAATTCCTCTTTTTTTTTCTTTTCCCCAAAACAATGAAAAAATGTTTTGTTTTGGACTCCACTGACTTTCAATGAATGGACAAAAACAGTTCTTACACAGGCGTACAGGACACCCCTGGCTTTTTTCTTTTCTAAAAGGCATTCACAGAACGTGTTTTTGCTTTGAAAATCACAAGACAATGTGGTTACAGTGGAATTTGGCAAAAACGTACGGTCTCTTTTTTTTTACAGAGCTATTTCTACCTGTTCTTACCCTTACATTTAGGTTTGTTGATGTAATCTAATATATGTATAATGTTATAAGATTTTTTTTAATAAAATGAATGTAGATGTTACCACATAAAGCACATTTTAGCTTATCATTACGCTTAATGTGGCTTAATGCATTAACACATTAAAAGACCAAATTCAGTATAGCTACACTTTGATGACACAAACTATGTTTCTGTGCCCTGGTCCTTCTCTGACAACAACCTGATTCAAATGGCAAATGTTTTAGCGGTTCAGTACACTGACAGCTTGTCACCAGACTTTGCCATACAACTGCTATTGTTCGTTCTCGAAATTGAAAGGGATCAAGACTTTCTCCAGAAACACAATGTTACAAGAAAGACTGTCCAGTTTATCTCTTTTGACTACTGAGAATGCCCGAGCTCGCAACATCGACATTAAAGCGGCAGTGAAAGACTTTGTGCCCCTAAAAAGTAATTTTGTTTCCCCCACAAAATGTAGCATATATCCTAAAGTACAGAGTTATTCTTTAATGTATGTTTTTCTCAAAGACTTTTTACTGGTCATTTTCTTACTGCAAGACATGAAGTTTGCTTGTATAATTTCCTTTCTACAATTAGCGATGCTGATCTAGGTCAGCGTTTGAACTTAATTTTATTGAGCTTACTGTATACTGTAAAAAATATGTACTGGGGCTTATAACAGATGTTTGTGTATTATAATTTTTGTTGAAGGATTCTCCTACTATTTGCACTTTCGCCTCTACGTGCATAGACAAAATTTTTATTCCTGCAAGGATTTCAGACTAAAAAGCTATATCAAATACACATGTTATTTAACAATGTCAAATGCATCGATGCAATGGTAATTCACCACACTCATTACTGTTAAATCAGTAAATGGGAGAGATAGAGTATGTTGCAGCAGGTGCACAATACATTTTCATGCATGACATCACTGCTGGTGGGAAGGGCCCAATCTCATTTTCTCACAGATATGCGCTACGCCACTATTCTTAAAAATTCTTTTTTTCCACAGACGAAAGTCATACAGGTTTGAAACAACACGAGAGTGAGCAAATGATCACAGAACTTAATTTTTTTGGTGAATAATCCCATTAAATGTGTAAATGTGTCTTCTGATTTTCAGTTGTACACTTTTCAACCAGATGAATTTGATCATCTTGAGCCACATTAGCACAGTACCACTATCTGAGCACAACGTGACAAAGCTAGACATCTATTAAACATTACAATCATATGTTCAGACTGCACTGAAGTACATTAGTGTTGATGTGTAAAGATAAACGTGTTGCAGGTGCATGAAAACTGCCCTTAAATAGGGGAGGAATAACACTCCTTTTTAACAATGTTCTTACAAGCAAGAAATATTTGTATAGGAAAATAAATTAAAAACAGATCATAAACTATGTTTTTTGTGGCATATGCATGTATAAAAGTGCATAACTAAATATTTATATTTAAAGAAAAAAGGAAAGTAACAGGCATGTATGGCAGGCATCAGAAGGAGGAGGAGAGGCTTCTACAGGAAATGAAATGAAAGAACGCATGCTTGAACATTGAGGGATCTTATGTAGTGTCACATTCATTCTATAGAGCTAAAGGAACCACAATTGCTGAGGTGCGAGAGTGTATTATCCTAAGAAACGATGGGCTTCTTGCTCAAAAGGTTGATTCATTAGATGTGGCAGCACTGCTTTTCCATTTTTCCCCTAGCATGCTGTGGCAACATTCTCAGCAATATCTTCCCAGAGGATGGGCTTTGAGAAACAGGGTCAAGTGTCCCCCAGACATGCTCCTTCTCTCCCACTTAATCACACCGATCTCAAAAAAGGACAAATGAACCTTGTATACCTAAAGATTACAGCCTGTCCATCCGGAAAGCATCTTCTGTGGCGGGATCGGCCAGAACCATGTCTGGATCGTTGAGCATGTGCAGGCCATCCAGCGTCAGCGGATCAATTTTCAGCTCATCCAGAGGAAACTGTGAATCTGCATCAAAGCTCACATCACCTGTCAGAAAGTTGGACAACTCTTTGTATAGGCTCGAGGGAGACTCTCCTGTAACTGAAAGATGAGTAATATAATATGCTAAACTTTTAGAGGGACCTTTTTGAAGCCAGGCTTCCCGGCAGCATTGTCAGCACATGTACATCAAAGGTACATGCAATATTATGCAATATCTAACTGGGCAGGTGAAATACCTGTGAGAATGATGTTGGGGATGTTCCCATGGCTACTGTAGCCTAGCTGCTGCGCATCCTGCATGTTGCCGTGGCTCCCGGTGAGGTTGAGCATCGCAGCTTGAGAGTAGTTTAGAGTGGATCCCTCAGTGTACAGACTGCTTGAGCCGATGGAATTCTCAATCATGTTGAACTGCTCCAGCTAAAGAATCAAAACGATTTCGATGACTATAGGTTAATTGACGAAGGTTGACGGAGTCAGTCTAAGGAAGAAAATTTTCTTCGGTTAAATAAAAAATTAAAATACGGTCCTCGTCATTGGATACACAAACCAAAACCAAATTTTGCCTATAATCACACATGTAGTACAATTTACTTATTTTATTTAAAGAAATTAATCATTTTATTCAGCAAGGATGCATTGAATTAAAGACATTTATGAAGTTAAATTAGATTTCTATTCTTTTCTTTTATTGTCGTTCTTTTGAACTTTTTAATAATCAAAAAAACTGTAATATGCATATTGTTCTGAAAGAGGGAAAAAAGATACAGTTCTAATTTCAACATCATTTATTCTTCAGACATCGTTCTTTAAATAAAATAAGTATTGACTGTATACAAAGTGACCAACATATAGTTTTCGACCACTGAAAATGGGTAATATTCAACAATCTGAATATGGAGCGTCCCCATATCTCTGGGACTGAATGATACGGTGCCTTGAAAATGAAGATTCCAAAAGAAAAGAAGAAAAGATTATTAAGTCATATTGTGATATCTTTAATATTTCTTAAAAGTAGTATCATATTTATGCAGTGATCCACATTTGGTTTTTGACCACTGAAAATGTATACAATTTAATGATTTACTCCTCGAGCCATATTGAAATTGCAATATCTCTGGAACTGAACCATACAGGGCCTTAAAAATGAAGATGCCAAAAGGAAAGTTTGTTAAGACCCAATATCTAAAAGGGCATGAAGATATCTTTAATACTTCCTGAGTCAAAAAAAGAGCTTATTCCCCATTTTGAATGGTCACCATTAGCACATAATGCAACAAATATTGCTAAAGTCAACACATTTTACTAACAGACCTACCAATCTCTGTGTAAAAATAACATTATGATGCTGCCGCCATCATTTTTACCCCCCTGAAATTTGGCTCGGAATCGCAGGTGAAAATTGCCATTTTGACCCCTCTCTACAAAATAGTGGCTTACTCAGTAAATATTCATCCATGACATTTAATATTTTGCATGTTTGTCTTTCTTCAGAAAAAATATTATCAAAGTAAAAAAATTGAGCCTGGGAAGTTTCTGAAATTTGGTTGATTTGACTCGGAATGGCCCAGCAGTAATTTTTCTTTTGAATATATTTATTTATATTCTGTCTTGTTATAATATACAATATTATATAAATTACAATAAGTTGTCATCTATATGAAAGTATTGAGCTATTGTCTCAGGATAGACTGTTTAAGGGGGGAATGAGTGGAAATGTCATAATTTAAATCAAATTAAAATAGTGACATTTAATAGTGAAATAGTACATTTGAAAAACTACTGGCAGGTAAAGCATGCCTTTGTTATATTAAACAGGAACGTGAAGGGGGATTTGGGACTGTACCATGACGCAGGGCGGATTCAGATCTATGTCCCTGTACAGCTCTTTTGTGTTGTAAGCATGCGCTCTTCCTACTGTGCCACTATTGAAGAATTATTCACAGAAAACCCTTCACCTGACACCTTAAAGCTTTCAGCTGCCCTCTGGTGGCTTGTACATGTAAGGAGCAAGGAATTAATGGTTTCTGGACAAGTTTGCTCTTCACATATTTAGATGAACAGATAGAACTGCACTAAAATTTTATATTTACGTGACCAGTGGCTTAAAAACTTCCATTTGAGCTACAGCAGTTAAGGTAGGCTACAATTCTAGCCATTTATACTGCGGACACAATGAGCTCACCTGCTGAGACAAAGCGCTGGTCTGCCGAGGGGACAACTGCTGGTCGTAAAAGGCATCAGCAAAGACACTTCCGAAAATGGATGAGTGCTAAAACAAGAACACATTACAAATAACCATACACAAAGACACTAAAGATAATCAAAATCACTCACAAAAGGCCCTAAAACAATGTACTTAGCCCAGGAAAGGATCTAAATCCATGAAAACTTCCCTGTCACAATTCATGATTCAAGATGACAACACTAATTCTGTATCACCATGTTTGACATGAAGACATCTTGGCTCATTTCAAACACAAAAATATGTTGCATGTGTACTCTACAGGAATGTAACACTTTGCTAAAGCAACAGATGAACAAAAACCTAAGTCTAAATATCTCAGAAATTATACAAAATGGATTTTAGAGACCAAGAGGAAGGAGTTGCACAACATTATTCCTGCACTAAAACTTCTCATCTGGACTTTAACAGAATCCTTACAAAGCAAAAATCTGTGATTTTTTTTTTTATGTTAAAAGAAAACATGCCACATACAGACTGTGGCATCCATCGCAGCAGTGAGTGGAGCAGCAGCAAAGACAGGGGTGTCCAAACCTGTTCCTGGAGGGCCACTGTCCTGCAAAATTTAGCTCCAACCCCAATTAAACATGCCTGAATCAGCTAATAAAGGTCTTCAGACTGACTATAAACTTCCAGGCAAGTGTGTTGGAATTAAACTCTACAGGACGTTGGCCCTCCAGAAGCAGGATTGGACAACCCTGGCCAAAGGCAAAGCAACTAAAATAATATTTTTTTTTCTGTAAGACTATATAATTCTGTGTGATAATATCAACTAGCACAGGATATCTAACCTTTTTCAGGCCCATTATTGGATAAAGACAGAGCAGAGATCCCATGTTACATATTTTATCAAATTCAGTGTTGCATTTCAGGTGTGTTATGTAACATGTTTACAGTACAATATTAATTTACAAAATGTATGATGTTTAGATTGCAGAGCCATTATTGAACTATAAAGTAATTTACTTGTACATGACATTTAAAATTTTAACAAAATACTGTATTTTTAAAACATTTTCTTTCTTTTTTCACAAACACAAGGAGAAGTCTGCACTCTGAAAAATTACTCTTCTATGAATCGTTAGGAAGGTTTTTGGCTGAAGCAGCATTTTTTTTATATTCCTGCTCCAAAACAATAATTATATGTATATATATATATGTATATATATATATATATAGCACTTGAATTGGCTGGTAGATCATAGTGAATATGTTTGCTTTTTTTCTCATTTCTAAACTTTACTATCAAAATCTATAATTATTTCATGGTTCAAAGCATTTACATTTATTTACAATAATGACAATTATTTTTGTCATACTGACACAACCATCATTTTTGCTCAAAATGCACAATATGCACATGATCCGGTGAAACAGCAATGGTACTTTGAGTATGGCGTACATTAAAATTGGCCAATATCGCTAATCAACATGATACACAGAACGATATATATAGCACTTGAATTGGCTGGTAGATCATAGTGAATGTTTGCTTTTTTTCTCATTTCTAAACTTTACTATCAAAATCTATAATTATTTCATGGTTCAAAGCATTTACATTTATTTACAATAATGACAATTATTTTTGTCATACTGACACAACCATCATTTTTGCTCAAAATGCACAATATACACATGATCCGGTGAAACAGCAATGGTACTTTGAGTATGGCGTACATTAAAATTGGCCAATATCGCTAATCAACATGATACACAGAACGAGTAAGTGGTGCGCTCAGACACACAGCGAAGCAGCCAGGATCAGAGAGACTGGGAGACACGACTGGACTAGGACACACAGAGCAGCTAAAGGGACAGGCTCCAGATCGGCTCCAAACAAAACAAACTACAGGAGGAAGCTGCTGGATTCGCCCTTACTTGAGGCGAGCCCCCCGGAGAGAAGCCTTGATTGGAGACCGGAGAAGTTGGAGACTGATTGGCCGAAGACCCCACCCTACAGCGGTACTGCTGGAGGGAAGCAGCCTATATGGGACAACACCAAGTTAGACCAGCAGAGCCCCTATAGGGGACCTCTGACTCAGGGTAAAAGGCCTGTGGCTCTCAAGTAACAATTCACAATGTCTCTGCTTACTCTGTCATGTAAACTCTGCAGCCAGGACATTTTTACTAGGACATCAGCTAAATGACTTTGTTATTATACTGATTCTTTATAAATGGAAATATATATATATTTTCCATCTTTTCTTGGTAAGTATGAATTCCAGATTTCTTCATTCTGTCAAGACTGAGGAGGTGTTAAAAACAGAACAAGCTGAGAACTTGACGGAGAAAGAACACTGCTTGTTAAAATTCATTACTTACACTACCAGTCCAATGTCTGGACATGTTTGAATTGTGTTTTTTATGATTTTAAAATCCGTTTGATCTAAAGTCCTATCCATACATGCTTGAAATTAAATTGATAGATAATTTAAAGTTTGTCTACATACACTAGCATTTAAAGGTTTGGGGTAGGTAAAAATGGCACATTTCTAAATAGAAGTCTCTTTTGCTCACCAAGGCCACATTTATTTGATCAAAATACAATAAAAATTGTAATATTGTGAAATAATATTACCATTTATATTTTATACAAAAATATATATATTTTCATTTATTAAATAATATTACAATTATTATATAACTATTTCAGTATATTTTAAAATGCCATTTATTCCTGTAATGGCTAATTTTGATCAATTTATAAATTCATTTCTTATTACTGACCCCAAACTTCAGAATGAAGATGGACCAGAAAGTATTAAGGTCAAATCTCGCAACTGTGACTTTATCACACATTTCTTAATTTACCCATTATTAAAAATAAAGTCATTATGAGAAAAAACAAAAACATTGTGAGATTGCCATTTAATTTAAAACTTTAGCTATCTCACAATTACCGGTTTCATGTTTAACAATGTTGTGATAATAAAATGCAATCAAATTGTGAGAAATAATGTCACGATTCTTTTTTAATTACTTCACTCTTAGTACATGGCAAACATCTAAACACCAAAACTGTTTAAGTTATAATAAGATAAACAGAGGGTGCATAGTGGGTTTTTCCCCACTACATACTCATTATTGCCATTTTCTACATTTGTGTATGAGCAGGTATGTCCAAACATTTGACTGGTACAGTATTTGTTATCATTTTCAATATAATTAAACCTTTTAGTGCCCTGCATGATCTGATTGGCAGACCATACACACCCAAGATTTAGAAATCCACTGTGGACCTACGGAGGTATTAAGCATTAAAATGTGATCTTACCGTGTTAATATCAATGCCCACAGAGGTTTGTGTCTGGCTGCATGAGACAGGTGGCAGCTGGGTGTTCTGCTGGAGCTGAGGAAGCCCACCGACCCCCTGTGTCTGTGTGGACGGCTGACTGAAGAAAGCATACTGAGCCAACTGTTGCTCCAGCGACATGGCGTCTATCGTCACCGCCTATTCAACACAGATTAAAATTGGCCAATATCGCTAATCAACATGATACACAGAACGAGTAAGTGGTGCGCTCAGACACACAGCGAAGCAGCCAGGATCAGAGAGACTGGGAGACACGACTGGACTAGGACACACAGAGCAGCTAAAGGGACAGGCTCCAGATCGGCTCCAAACAAAACAAACAACAGGAGGAAGCTGCTGGATTCGCCCTTACTTGAGGCGAGCCCCCCGGAGAGAAGCCTTGATTGGAGACCGGAGAAGTTGGAGACTGATTGGCCGAAGACCCCACCCTACAGCGGTACTGCTGGAGGGAAGCAGCCTATATGGGACAACACCAAGTTAGACCAGCAGAGCCCCTATAGGGGACCTCTGACTCAGGGTAAAAGGCCTGTGGCTCTCAAGTAACAATTCACAATGTCTCTGCTTACTCTGTCATGTAAACTCTGCAGCCAGGACATTTTTACTAGGACATCAGCTAAATGACTTTGTTATTATACTGATTCTTTATAAATGGAAATATATATATATTTTCCATCTTTTCTTGGTAAGTATGAATTCCAGATTTCTTCATTCTGTCAAGACTGAGGAGGTGTTAAAAACAGAACAAGCTGAGAACTTGACGGAGAAAGAACACTGCTTGTTAAAATTCATTACTTACACTACCAGTCCAATGTCTGGACATGTTTGAATTGTGTTTTTTATGATTTTAAAATCCGTTTGATCTAAAGTCCTATCCATACATGCTTGAAATTAAATTGATAGATAATTTAAAGTTTGTCTACATACACTAGCATTTAAAGGTTTGGGGTAGGTAAAAATGGCACATTTCTAAATAGAAGTCTCTTTTGCTCACCAAGGCCACATTTATTTGATCAAAATACAATAAAAATTGTAATATTGTGAAATAATATTACCATTTATATTTTATACAAAAATATATATATTTTCATTTATTAAATAATATTACAATTATTATATAACTATTTCAGTATATTTTAAAATGCCATTTATTCCTGTAATGGCTAATTTTGATCAATTTATAAATTCATTTCTTATTACTGACCCCAAACTTCAGAATGAAGATGGACCAGAAAGTATTAAGGTCAAATCTCGCAACTGTGACTTTATCACACATTTCTTAATTTACCCATTATTAAAAATAAAGTCATTATGAGAAAAAACAAAAACATTGTGAGATTGCCATTTAATTTAAAACTTTAGCTATCTCACAATTACCGGTTTCATGTTTAACAATGTTGTGATAATAAAATGCAATCAAATTGTGAGAAATAATGTCACGATTCTTTTTTAATTACTTCACTCTTAGTACATGGCAAACATCTAAACACCAAAACTGTTTAAGTTATAATAAGATAAACAGAGGGTGCATAGTGGGTTTTTCCCCACTACATACTCATTATTGCCATTTTCTACATTTGTGTATGAGCAGGTATGTCCAAACATTTGACTGGTACAGTATTTGTTATCATTTTCAATATAATTAAACCTTTTAGTGCCCTGCATGATCTGATTGGCAGACCATACACACCCAAGATTTAGAAATCCACTGTGGACCTACGGAGGTATTAAGCATTAAAATGTGATCTTACCGTGTTAATATCAATGCCCACAGAGGTTTGTGTCTGGCTGCATGAGACAGGTGGCAGCTGGGTGTTCTGCTGGAGCTGAGGAAGCCCACCGACCCCCTGTGTCTGTGTGGACGGCTGACTGAAGAAAGCATACTGAGCCAACTGTTGCTCCAGCGACATGGCGTCTATCGTCACCGCCTATTCAACACAGATCCAGATTGAGATGCTCTATTAGCATCTGAGTGATTAGATTAACATTTAATGTTCCTTCTGTAACACCAGCTCAAATCAGTCCTCGTCAGCAGCTGGAGGAATGAGAGCAATGTTACCTGTGCTATAGAGAGCGGAGGAGAGAGGGTGGGCGACAGCTGCTGAAAACTCGGGTGCTGCTGGGAGTCTGTGTTGAGGATCAGAGGAACTACATTCTCATGCCGGCGCTGAATGCTCACTGTCACTGTGGGCTGGGCTGAGAGTAATGGGTGGAATAAAGTAGCAGATTGACTGAACTGCATCAACAAGCTCTTGTTTTACCTGATAGACTTCAATCCTTTAGACATATATGATAATGTTGATATTTACACTTGTACACACAATTTAACTTTGAACTTTATTAAATTATTTTGTTAGCGGCTCTTCAACACAAACCTTACAACCTACTAACAACTAAAATTTAGTAGAGTTCGTTACAAACCAGCTAGTAGATACTAAGCCTCTTGTGTGGATTTTACATTCCAATTTATGTAAGAACTTACGAATAGCTGGGGCAACCCTACCCAGCTGCTGAATAAATAGCATCCTAATTTCAATGAGTGTGATTTGATGATATCAAATCTGATGAACTATTAGATGCTCGCAGACAGATTTATTAGATGGTTTTAACCAGAGGGAGAAAAAAGTGCCTTCTAATACATATATAATAAAATTTTGGGGCTTATCTTGCCCACAAATGTCCAAAGTTCATAATTAGAGTGCTATGACAGTAACAGCACAGTACATCTTTACACATATATCCTAAAACAGTGGATCTCAAACAGAGGGTTGCCTCGGCAAATTAAAAAAAAAAAAACACTAGGTTGCCTCGGCAAATTTAAAATTGTTATTCATGTTTTTATCTTGTCATGGCCTTATTATTTTAATTTGTTGTTTTATGGGTTGCCTCTCTCTTCCATTTCCCATCTTCAAATGGTCCAAAATGTGGCTGCTCGTTTGATGATGGGCAGTAAACGGGATCATATTACGCTCTCGGTGTTGGCGACCAGCTCAGTACCACATCGATTTTTAAAAATGTGCTATTTGTTTATAAAGCCCTTAAAATTTAGCCCCTAAATACCTCTCAAATGTAATCCTTATTCATAATCCCACTAAATTGCTTACACCATTTCCTGTTAGAGCCACTCCCACGGTGTCGGAGTTCAAACCAATGCTAAAAACCCATCTTTTTCTTGTGCTTTTAACTTATTTTTAACTGTTCGTATATTATGTACAACACTTTGGTCCATCGAGGTTGTTCTAAATGTGTTATAGAAATAAATATGACCTTGAAAGTAGAAAGTCATGTAAATTCCTTGGTAGAAAAGAGTGGGATCCTCGAAGAGCATACAGCTCTTAAAATTTCTGTAATTCTTAAACTTATAAAATGATCATTTTAATTATAATTATTTTAGTTAGTTATATCTATGGACACTCTTTTTAAAACTTGTCATTGCAGCAGATGTAACAGTGGAAACCTGTTAACCTACATGGAGGGCCTTGGAGTCGAAAAGATTGAGAACCACTGTCCTAATGCATATGCTTGTGAGAATCACCTTGGCTGGCAGAAGTGAGGCCCATGTGAGTGTTGGCCAGGTTGCCAGTGCTGTTGGAGGTACTGAGAGAGGAAGAAGAGTCGTCAGGGTCCAGAGGTGTGGGGAGAGGAGGGGGAATCTGGATGTTGGTCAGGTCTGGCAGAGAGCCGCCCGTGTTGTGTGCCACTGGGATTAGAGATGTAATCATTTCCTGATCTGGAGACGGAAATATGCTGGGGAAATGACACGAGGGACGTTAGAAGGAACCGGGATAAATAGGTATGTCAACAGAAAAAGCCCACTGTGCTGATTATGATGTGATAAATCAAGGCTGTTACAAAGGAGCAGATATGACTAGATGGCTGTTAAGTTGGGATAATAGTTTGCTCGAATGACCTTGACTCTTCAATCTCCAAATGATAACTGCTGCATGGTCCTTCCATTCACCTACCCTCTACTTTACACTATCTGCGTCAATAAGAAAATCCAATGAAACCACACTTACTTGATTCCAGGTATTTTGTTTGACTTGGGCCTTGTTGAAGTAGTCTATGAAACAAAAAGAGAAATACTTTGTTGATAAAGGATCCCATGAAATTCATATCAAAGAAATCTATTTCTAAATGTACCTTTTTGTGATCCCATATCTGCTTTTGACCTTCTTTGTCCATGTCACTCTCAGATTCCCCTGTTCCTGGCATAGTGAGAAGAAGAACTAGTACATAGAGAGGGATGAAATCATACACTGAAACAAGTGTAGGAAAATTTTGACAGGATATAGTTCACTGCAACATTTAACCTAGGATTAGTTTACTGATGAGAGCATTTAATAAATCATAAAGCAATCAAATAAAAATTAAATAAACATTGTATCAACCTTGTTTTGGCTGCAAATCTTGAGATCCTCCTGCAAATGCATCTTGTGGGTTTGGGTTAAAAGTGCTCTGGTGCAGGGCAGAGTCTGAGTTGGTCCTACAGAACAAGCACAAAGAAATTAAAGAATTATATAACAGCATAAAGCATGCCTGATCACATTAGGTAATCCAGAGGTAGAAATTACCCCTCACTCCCCTCCCCTCACTAAAATTACAAGTTTATATTGTACCACAAAAGCAGGGTAGAGTGGTAAAAGGATATAAAGAAACAATATATAATTACTGACATTAAATAAGCAAACTACAACTTAGCAAGACATCTTAGAAAACGTTACCATCAAATCTTTAACTGTAAAAACATCTTGCATCTTGTGTATGCTCTTTCGTTTTAAGAAGATGATTTTTAATCTTTTATTGCCATAGCATCAAATGCAAAAATAAATGATAATACACAATATATAATTAAACATTTTACAAGTTTCAACATTACAACGACTACTTTCAGTTTAACATTTGATATAGTTATGAAGAATATTTATTGACATGCAATTTCAACAGCTACTACTCCTGCACATATGTACAGTCTTCAGCACATGCAAGCAGACTGTGAGTATAAACTCTCACCTCCTCCAGCTGGTATCAGGTGGGGGTGACAGATACACAGAGGCATACGGACAGCTATCAATGTGAGATTCAACATTAAGGACTTCATAATGTCAGAATAAGTAACTCGCAGACATTTGAACAAATATGCTTTCGTTTGCCATGCAGACCAAAACGGTGCAATAATTCTGTCTGCCTTCATGAGTAGACACATTAAGGATATTTGACGGCCATGTTTGTCCACAGAGAGAGGTCTGCGGTGTGGCGACGTGATGCGATTCCTGTCCCGGTAGACCCTGTCCACCAGCCCATGGTGACGAGTTGTTCTACTTGTGTCCAATCCTGAATTCTGAAAAGGCGTCTGATAAAAAACCAACAAACTTGAAGATGTCAGTACAAAACTTACCTATTAGGGCTGCACGATAATTCACATGCGATATTTAATGCATATATGAACATGGTTTTGCGCAGCTTGTCAGTGAACAACGGCTCTGTGTAGTAAATGCTGCTCCATGTGAAAGCACACACGTGATGGAGATTTACAGCTGATTACAAAACAAGCTTTACTGACAAGATGCACATTAAATATCGCATGCGATTTATCGTGCAGCCCTAATATCTATTCTTACTTAATTTCACCTGTCAAAGTGCTCCTCACCTGAAAGGGAAGGTCAATAGTGGTGTTTCCAATTTGATTGACATTTGGCAAAGAGCCGCCATAGTACTGTCCTCGGTTCTGACCAAGCTGTAAATACTGAGTCTTCTGTAACTGTAACTGCATGAAAAACAACAATCAATAAAATTGTGAGACATTATATACGTAAAATTACCCAAAAGGGTTTCTGTGATTCCAGCTATAACATCCCTCTGTTCTGTTTATCATTATAGCTGTTATTTGGACTTTTCTCAAACAATTAGAACTATTATTAAAACTTTATTGTTATTGTCCTTGGTATGAATGGGAAGGTACAGGTGTAAACTTCAAAATCTTCAAATAGAAGTCCTAAACAAGCAGCCCAGTTTATTTTAGCTACTTTTTATTCCAGCTCTCTCTCTCTAGTTACATCTGATGTCAATACAAATTTGAGAAAATAACCAAAAATCTAAGTAGTTAGAACTTGGATTGCCTTATTTATTAGAGCTGCATCAGTAAACCCCACTAGGCAGGCATATGTTACCATAAATATAACACAGATTTTATATAATGGTAGAAATGGATGATTCAAACACCGGGAAAAGTGACAAATGATCACTGAGAGTTACAACTAAGAAATGCAACTCACTGAAAAAAAGCATTTACATTTATTAATTTAGCAAACACTTTTGTACAATGGGATTTAAAAATGAGGAGTACAGCCTAAAGATTGATACTAAGGAGACAGTAACATGAGAAGTGCAATTAAAAGTTCCAAAATTGTAAAAGAGCACAGATTTTTAAAAAAATAAATAAATAAATTTTGTGAGCTCTGAAATGTAGTATTTAGTCTGAATCTTGATTGGGATGTTATGTTAGTAGAGCACTGGAGCACTGGCCCGTATAATCACAACCCTGTCATCATAGTTTGCTGGAGTCCTTATTTTGGGTATAAATGCACTGGGCAACAATGCTGAACTGAGTAAATACATTGTTGTGAATGGCTTAATTATTCAATGAGTGCTTGTAAACATCGATACAAACATTCAGGTTTAACCCTCCAAAAACGAATGACACCTGAAATGAATGTTTAGATGCTAAAATGTGTCCAGCACTGGATACGGCCTTGATTGCAGTCCAGCTATAATGTCGAGAGGCTGTAATGTGGCTGTCAAATACACATGCTCAATCCGTTCACACACATACACTAAAGCTGTGAGCACGGCAACTTTTATAAGGCCTCGTCGTGACCGTCTGTTTATTATCAAATATCTCAATGGCGTCCATTGGAAGGCAATCCATTAATCAGCACTAAAGATAAACGCGCACTGGAGAGGGGTGTTTGTTATTGTTTACGTCCAGACAGGCGGGTTCAGTGCGTGTCGTATAAACACAAATTCAGCCCCGCACCTCGGGCTGTTAATGAATGCTGTCATAAGAGAGAAAACAGACACACTTACACGGGCCGCCCGAGTAATACTCAGGTCTTTCTGCTGATTTAAATCTAGCGGGTCTGTTTGTGTCTCATGTCGCAAGTTCAGTGTCGCAGGTAGTGACGATTTTCTCCGGCCAGTCCGTGCTCAGCAGAGTTAACACGTCACGTTTTGGTAACGGTACGGTACGCTTGGAACCCCAACCGAGGTGGTACTAAAAAAAGTACCAGGTACCAGGTACTGTACCCAGTGGAAAACCCCCAAAAAGTGAACCGTACCGAGCCGTACCGTGCCATACCATGCAGTGGAAAAGCGCCATTAGATAGGTGTTGTATTCCCGTAGGTTGATGGGGATCAGCTGAGAGTCAGCTGATGCGAGCTTGACTAACGTGACCTGCCAGAACTAACGCTACGCTTGATTTCTAGCATTCATAAATATGATTGTGCTCACTTAAAGAAATGGAAGAGACACATTGTAACACTAAATTCCCAGCTGTATTTCTACCAAGATACTGTCACATCCCACAACCTCATCATCTGCCAGGAGAAACTGCCATACAGTTACACCAAAATACACACAAAATGATGAACTTAAAGGCATCATAGAGGACTGTGAAGCTATTTCACTGGAACTTGGTCTTCTGTATTGCGTTTCTATTTTGTGTTTTATTTCTTGATATATTTATTCATGTTCAAAGTCAGTTATTATAATTTAATAAGGCATCCAGTTAATAACTTGCTTTTTTTTTGCTATTTCCCATGTCAATAAAAATAAAAGTACCTAACTGAGAGGGCTTGCTGGCATTTTTAAAAATGTAAAACCCAAATAGATGCTACAACCCTAATTGACACAACAAGATATAAGACCTGCAGGTAGAAGGGTTAAAACAATATTAATAAATAATAATGAAAATAAATATAGCACTTTCAAAGCATGGTTCTCTATGGAAGCCGAAGGACCCTATTCTGGTAACTTTTTTAGAGTGTAATGAAGAAAATATTGTGAACTTTCTGTCTGCTCAGATTAGTTAGATGTTGGGTCCACGCAGACATGTCATGATGCATATCAGTTTAATATGCATGCTTGTTCAAAGTATTGGTTGTTATTGCTTTGTTTTGTGGCCTAATAGAGAGTTGGACTTGCAAAGGTCACGGGTTCGAGTTTCTGTACTGACAGGGATTGTAGGTGGGGGGAGTGAATGTACAGCAGTCTCTTCCACCTTCAATACCACGACTGAGGTGAGACCCTTGAGCAAGGCACCGAACCCAAAACTGCTTCCTGGGCACAGCAGCAAAAAATGGCTGCCCAGTGCTCCCGGTGTGTGCTCACTGTGTGTGTGTGTTTGTTTACTACTCACTTCTGTGTGTGTGCACTTGGATGGGTAAATGCAGAGCACAAATTCCAAGTATGGGACACCATAATTGGCCACACGTCACGTCCTTTCCTTTTTTTCCTTTCCCTGTTTTTTTTTATTTTATTTTTTTATGTAGCTTCTTGTAGTCAATTCGATTTATATTAAATTAAAATCTTTTAACTCTTTTGTAAAGTACAGTTAAACAGAACCACAGTAAACATGTTGCAAGTGAGAGGAAGTGTTTTATAGCAGATGGGGAATTTTTAATAGAGAAACAGAAGTTCTGTATAGTTTTGATAACACCTCACCGAGATATCACCGAGATGTGCGCAATATGTGCAGTGCATGTCAGTGTCATGTAGCATTATTTGCAGTAGCCAGCCATCATTTTACTTCAATATGCAGTATTTCACTTCAGAAAGTCTATGATTCACAATTATTGATTCAATATTTTTATAAGGGATCTTTATAATGCATCACAGTCCTGAAAATGAAAAATAGATACAAAGAAGTGAAGTGAAATCGTTGCAACCTGAAAGTGGAGATTTTGTTTTCTCAGACTATAACTAATACATTTAATTCGCTTCTGTTTATCTGTCTAGAACAAAGCTAACACTGGAAAATCCAGTTTTCTAAGTTTTGTCTACTAGTTTAGGCAAAGTAGTCTAACAGAGCTGTCTGTTTTGTTTGACCTACTAACAACACATCTTTTAAAAGCAATTTTTCATTATTTTCCCCAGATCATGGATGTAAATTGGATTTGAGTTAGGGGTTTTCCAGCTCATAATGCTAGTCAGCATTACCAAGATTGAGAATGGGCCTCAAAGTCACAAGTGACTAAACAGTATTTTTATCAAGAATGGTGTATTTATTTCCAAACCTAATGACCATATTTCATCCTCACCGTTTGCCCACATATGCTAGGTTTAGGGTAAATGCACTATTTTTAACACCAGGGGGTGATATAAGGACAGTGACCACAACTTGCTATTTATTCTAACATTGTTTTGCCCTTTTTTTGAAACCACAATGTACACAATGTATATTAGTCCTTAAAACCTGTGAGCAAAACAAGCCTTAATGTGCTTACTGGTCTTGCAATGTTAGCATAACTAAGTTCCTCCTTTTCATAGAGGATGTTCAAATGTCTGTTAGCATTACCCACAACATCTGAGTTACCTTCTCTTTTTCGTCTTTCTTTTTTCTACTTTTGAGCTTCAGTTTGAAGTCTTGGTTTGGTTAACCTGCTGTCATTTAACTTCATTTAAATGTAATCTAACTTGTCACATTTAGTGGTTTTCTGGCAGTGATATACTTGTAAGCCAGTGTAGCATTGTTACCAATAGCTTTCATATATTTGTTTTTAACATGATTAAAACTCTTGATTTTTGAAGACTTTGTGATCAACGGCTAGAACAATTGGCATATTTTATAAACTGCTGGTAAAGTTTGAGAGGATATGCTCAGCTATTATTTGCATATCAATTATAGCTCCTATTTACATGAACCCACAAATCTCTGTTTCAGAGCAGATGTATAACTAGTTTACAGGAAGACAACAGGAAGAATGATTGTGTGGGGGTGTGAATTTCCAGGTTGCATGACTACTGCATTGAAAGCGGAACTTTCAGGCTCTTTCTGCAAAAAGAAATGCCAAACGGCAGCTTGACCATTTCTGCCAGCAACAGTGATACAGACATAGGTGATATAGTCTCACCTACACAATACGGTAAGGTTATTTCTATTATGAACGATTCATTGGGGTTACATTAGTACAAATAATAGCTTCAATGTTAATTTGATGAATTTCAGTGTGGCCTACATAACAGTACTAAAAATATCACTTTCTCTTGCGAAATACATAGATGCAAAAGTTTTCTTTGAGTGTTTGCATTTCGTTATAGATATAATAACATTATTTTTCTATCCCTTTTAGACCATGGATGGAAATAGCACTTGTTTCCCATCAAGTAATTCTACAGAGGGTTGCGTCCCTGGCAGCAGCCCGTCACTTGGACTTGCTGTTGGTTTGCCTATATTCTTTGTGGCTTTGTTGCTGGTGGCGATAGCAGTGTTTTTCTTGTTTCGACACAGAAAATCGGTTGATATTGAGTTATCTAACAAACTTAAGAGCCAAGATAAGAGCCAAGATGGTCATTCCAGGGAGTCTCCGTACAGTGGATACGCCGGAGGACTTCAACCCGCACCACAGAGCCCAGTCTATGAGAACTTTCATGGACAGTCCAATCTGCATGAATTTCAGAGTTGTTCTGTACAGAGCAAGGACACACACAGGTAAAGTACAAAAAGTGAAATCTGTATGCGTGTGTAGGCCACTGCGCAAATGTAGATCATTAGAAACCGGGTGATGAGAAGGCTTTGATAAGTCTTTAAAGTAGACGTGGAATTTACTGCTAAGTTTTATTTGCTGTCTGTTTTGCAATATCACAGTGACATCATGAATGTGTGGCAATAGTGGCATAACAGTCAGAGAGAGTCACATTAAAGGAGTTTTTATTTTGCAGCAATATTTATTGGGTTATATATTTGGTGCAACTTTTACAATTCAACTTAGAACTGAAAGAACTGGAATTTCACTTTTGCCCCCATTTAGAGACCATCAAGCATACCTGCAGTGTGATCCACATGATGCAATCTACAGCAATGATCCTGCCCTCTTCCATCCAGATCAGGCTGAAATCTCTGAAGATGTTTACATCATGCCAGATGCTTGAAAGTCTGAAATGGTTTGCTGTCCAGTATTAATCCACAAAATGTTCAGAATCATTTGTACTGGCATGATATGAAATAATAGTAAGTCTTTAATGTCAAAGGGTAAAATCAAGAGCAAAACATTCTGGCCAAGAAATAGTTTTGACTTGAGGGATTCAAATGCCCTTACAAGCAGTACACAAGCCAATGTGAATTATTGACTGAACACACTGTGAGACAGCAAAACATAATCATGACCTCATTTATCACAGTTTAACAGGTGTTCTTGCAGACTGCAAATAATCCCCACTGAAACGTCCAGCCTAGACCAGCGTGAATGTTCCATGCTCTACAGACTGGTTTATACTGGTTTGGTGGACCAACATCCTAAATTCTAGTTGAGATGTTGGTCAATATGCTGGACAGGGATAGGGGGACTTTCATACGTTTTAATGTTAAAAATGTTTCCTGAATTAATTAAGTTGATATCTTTTTGTACATTATTGTTCAAAAGTTTGTGGTCAGTAAGATTTTATTTGAAGAAGTAAATACTTTCATTTAGCAAGGGCACACTAAATTGATCAAAAGGGACAGTAAGGACATTTCTAATGTTACTCAAAATGTCTATTTCAAATAAATGCTGTTCTTTTGAACTTTCTATTCATCAAAGAATCCTGAAAAAGTGTATCATATTTTTCACAAAAGAATTAAGCAGCACAACTCTTCGAGATAGATAATAATAAGAAACGTTGAGCAGCAAATCAGCATATTAAATTGACTTCTGAAGGATCATGTGACACTGTAGACTAATGTAATGACTGCTGAAAATTCAGCTTTGTGATCACATGAATAAAGGATATTTCACAATATTGATGTTTTTTATTGTATTCTTGATCAAATAAATGCAGCCTTGTTGAGCATAAGAGACTTCTCTAAAAAAAACATTTAAAAAACCTTTCCAACCCCAAACTTTTGAACAGTAGTTTATGTGCAGTTTATGTCACATGCATCATATTTCATAAGGATTATGCTTATGCTTTCACATGCAAAAATAGTTTTGCAAGCTTTCAATTCATTAAGGCATGGTAATAATTATCCATTATGACTGTGTCTTACAATCGTTTTGTCACTGTGACTCACTGAAATCTTCACTGAAAGATCTCCTCTCTCAGCGATTAGCTACAAATTAGCTGAGAGTGTCTTTTCCACTTCCACAATGCAACAAGTGGAACATTAAGCATTATATAGCACTGTGAAACTGAAGTGTCTCAGGAAGCCAAAGGCATACAATTCAGTCTTTGTTTGCCCTTGTTTGTCTAGGTGTTAATCATACACATCTCTCTGAAAAAGAATAAAATATGTGGTAAAATATATTTCTTAAAATTGCTGCATATCCTGTTGACAAGTGTCAGTTATGTTTCTCAACTGCAGATCTCAGATGAGATTGTTGTTGACTTTAAATATACTTTTAATTTACATCAAAGTTATAGTCAGTTGAAGGCCATTTACCAGAATTTAAACATTACATTGGCCCTTTCCAAATATACTTTGGATGGCACTACTGCCTTCATTAGGGCTCAAAAACAGGGCTGAAGTGTTAGTCACTTGTACTGTATCTTACACACACACACACACACACAGAAAGAGAGAGAGAGAGTATATATTAAAGTGTACTTGCAAAGTGTATGGTTTGATAATTCTGCCTATCAACATTTTAAACTTGTCAGCGAGATATGATCGTCTAACTTGCTGAAACAGACAACGTGAGAATGACTACTTTACACCTGAACAAAATAATCTATGTCTTCAAGATCACTAGAAAGCTACAAGCAGGTGTGTTTGATTAGGGTTGTAGTTAAACCATGGAGGACAGTTGCCCTCCAGGACCGAAGTTGCCCAGCCCTGACATAGGGTGTGTCAATAGCCTGGTAACACAGATCAGATTAAATGTGTGCCAGTAGTCTTAACTGTAGTTTTACTATACCCTCATGCGTAAGAAGTAGAGAGCAAATACTTGTTTATATCGCCACATTGTTTTATCAAACATGATTCATAACATTTAAATGTATTAAATCAGTTTTATTGATATATGAGCCAGTAATTTGTCTTTGAAGTGAGTAAAATGATTCAAGTACAAGGAAGTGTTTATTGCTTTATGTTTCATTGTGTGATTACAGTTATAATTGTTATCATTACCAATTACATTGTTACATTGTCAAAACAACAGATAATTTATCTCAAAAACCTTTACAGTCAGCAAAATCGAGTCGAAAGACAACAAATATTTATGGACTATAGTGACACTAAAAATGACACAGTATTTTGTAAATACTGAATCCCAAATGAACTCGTGCCTCCGCTGTGGTTGCTTCAGAGGACATTTACTCTCTGGTCAAGGTCAATGACACTATGTGTGGTTTCAAGGCTACAGATGTTAGATCTGGCCTATCTTTATGGATAGGATAAATATGGCTTTTGATCAACATGGCTAAATATCTTTTATGGATACTTATGGCATGACCTTACCTTGAAATATTATCTAGAACTGAGCGGATATTGTAAAATATTATTATAAAAGACTGTAATTTATAGGTTTGCACTTACGTATGTAAAACGTAAGTGTGAATTCATTTTATAGTTCATTGTTATATGATCTGAGTGAGTCATACACAGGTGATTTGTTCGGATGTCCTATTCTCCATATAAACAGTGATACAAACGTTTTTTAACAACATCCAGAGTTTTCATTGCAGCTCAATTTTGGTTTCACAAAATACTGTATGTGAGGATTTTCATCTTATAGTGAAAGATGTTGAATCATCTTTATTGAAATGTGATCAGTGATTCACACATTGATCATCCATACTGAAAATATATGATTATTTCCTTAAAGCTAATACTTTATTAATATTCTTTCAAAAATACAAAAAGGTTTCTTGATTCATTCACAACACAGTAACAAACAAGTTCAAAAACATTTCAAATAAATTACAATATAAATAACTTGAAATTCCAGTAAGTAAATAATGTGAAAATACAGCACCCATTCAACCTGTCAGTGTATGTAGAAAAGCAGGCATCTGGTTTCCTTAAGAAGCGAAACTATTTTATAAACCAAAGGAATGCAACCAAATGAGCGTGAGAGCATTGATTTGCATTTTATCAGCTAGATATTTAGCCTCTTTATCATCTTCTCTTTTGAGAATATAATGTTCAGTAAAACTAGTCTCTTTTAAAAACATGTGCCAGTTTTGTTCATGCACAGTGGCATTTACTAACTATCAAATCGTTGAAAGGCGTGAGCTTCAACTTTCCACGACTGTCATAGTGCATGAGAACCATTGGCTCATATGCAGCTGGTACGCAGCAAGGACCGGGTATCGTTCCCTTAGACAAGAGATGCAGACGAGACTTCACCTGCGTATGCATACTGGCAGGTTTATAATTATGCTGGCAGGAACCATCACAGTAGTGCATAGTGTAGCCCGAGGGAGCGATAACCCAGTCTGACCAGCCGATGTCTTTGAAGGAAACATTTAATGACTTTCGCCTACAGTGACCTTCATCCTCAACACTTTCCTCTCTTGTAAACAGAGCTCTTCTGTTTCTTCTCCTCACTGCTTGGTCAAGTTGTAAAGCAA